TGGAGAAGAAGATGAAAGTCTCACTGATAATAACGGCTACTTTGATATCATACTTTCACTAAACATGATTTTAGGTTTTGCTGAAGACTATCGCAAGATAGTTGTCAATCTAAAATGATACTTATAAGAGCAAGAAACGATATAAATGCCGTGTTGCAAATTCCAGTTAATGCCAATGCTGCTGATCCTGCGGGCGCAACTACTTGAGAAGACTTTAAAATAGTAATATTAAAGCTTGAGTGGTTTATGCCTGATGAAACTCTATTTAAATTCACAATATTATTCTTATGGTGATCTTATTCTCAAAAAACGCGTAATCAGTATATATTGATGTATGATATGGAGTTGTATTCTCAATCGGATATCTTTAATCGTCCTCGATTGTTCCAAACAAAACGAGTTATTAAAAAATGCTCCAGTAGATGTGAGGCTAGAATTTGAGTCCCATTACGATTTTCCTGCCAATACATCAGCTTATTGCTTAATTTTACATGACCGTATCGTTCAGTCTAGTCCGATGAGTAGGGGTGTTAAGAAACTCATGTAAAGCTACATAAAGCTAACTCATAGGCTCTACGAGCATCAGTTTATTCTCAGCCATCATAGATAAAGGTCGCAGCAACAGTTGGGGTAAAGAAGAAGCAGAAAATAAACGACGACAAGAAGAGTGGGAAAAATTTCTGAAAATAAACGAGAAGGAAAACGTGAAGATTGAAAAAATAAAATCTGTAGAAAAATAAAAAGATAAAAATTAAAGAATTGTTTAATTAATATGTCGCATAAACCAAGTGCATGCAATTTTACAACTAATGTTAAGTATCAAAAACTTTCTACTAAGGACGATGATGATAAAAATAAGAAATCTTGGTTGAAAAACTTCGTCGATAAGTATTAAATCAATAAAGGATGTTGTCCTAGAAATAAAGGGTATGAACAGCTAAAAAAATAAAACTAAATATTATAAAAGCGAAGAAAATGGAGTATTTCGTGGACATGCAAGGTTTCAAGAAACCGGGTAATGATTATGTACTCAAAGAATTAGCTATCCTTCCGCTCGGTGCTACCGATGCAGAAGCACAACTATTTTTACTTGAAGCACCCTTTAGCTGGCGAAAATTACAACTAAAGCATAAACTTAAAAATGTATACCTTGAACTTTACTATCATGGACTAAGCTGGGACTCAGAAAAAATTGAGTACACAGAAATAGAAAATATTTTACGGAAGAATCTTGAAAATGCTACGAAGATACTTGTTATTGGGGATCTGAAACAAAAGTAGCTTGAAAGATTTGGCTTTAAGGTCACTAATATGACAGACTATCTACCGTTTAAACTTCCAAGATTAGTTACTACTTGTGCTCATCACAACGGTCACTACAGATCCATGTGTGCTCCTCATAATGTCAAACGAATGAAAAAGTTTTACATTAATATGGAATGGGTTGATGTTGATGATGACGACAACGACGACGACGACGACAACGACGATAATAATAAAGAGCTGTGAAAATGTATTGCATTTTAAGAATAAGGTGTAACAAATCATTTTGTGATTTTAGTTATGTACATGTGAATGTTTTTCATTTTAAAATAAACTGATTGATCAAAAATAAACAACAGTGTCAAAAATTATTTTCCTTCCACTTCACATCCTACATTATGATGCAACACCCCCACTTACATTAAAAAAAATACATAAAACCATCACGTGTGCAAGCTGCACAAGATTTAACATATTAAATCAGCGCGTGCAAACCAACGCTGCAGACGCACATTGCACTGCACACAACTCGAGTAGCGCTGCAGGTAGCACGCACAAACTCAAGCAGCGCACGCAAAAAAGAAAACTGCTGGACCGGCTCACCCATTGGCCGCAGGGGAAGCAGTGGCACGTCGCAGAAGGGTACACGCCACGGAGAGGGGGGCTGTTCCAGAACTGCTGTGTTTTAGAACCGCCATAGCTTATCTACTGGGATTTATCACTAAAATGACCGTAACTGTAGAAGTAAATGACTAACCTTCATAAATAAAAGTTGTATGTTACCTTTTTTATGAAAAATCTTTTAGAATTGTGAAAATATTATGTAAACCAAATAAATTTCAAGAAAATTAAGAGAAAAGTGATTCATTGTCTTCTGCACATGCGCAGATAAACATGAAATAAGTTTTTATTTTTTTTTTATCGTTATTTGTAGGGTAACTGTAGGTATTACTGGCACTACTCCAATTGCTGGTAATCAATAGAAATACATACATACAAAATTATTTTATAATGATGAATATACAAAAAAAAATTTGTCGTAAAGTAGATAACTGTAAAAATAGTATTCAATCGTGTATTAGTATGAAACATAAATTTGAATTATTTTATCAATGACAACACAGACGGGTGTGTGATTCTGTCTCAAAAAATTAAATTTTACAGCGAAAAGCGACTTGCTTTCAATGGTATTTTTATTAATAAATATGGCAAAATCACACAAGAAACAGTTTATTGAATTAAAAAAAAAACCTTAATTCTTCGATAAATGCAATAAAAAATAATTTTGAATGTTTCCTCTTTTTTAACTTAAAAATTGGAAAAAGATACTGACAGTCTATTAAGATACTTAAATGAGCAAAATATTTTTGACACGTCAAAACCCCTGTTCAACATCATTTCCGGTAAAACAAATTTGTCTAGATGGTGTGGCCTTATTAAATTACATTAACCTAATTTTCCATTTCGAATAATTGTTTCAGCTATTGGTTCGCCGGTTTATAATATATCAAAGATTTTCTCAAATTTTTTAATAAAAAATATACCGACTTCTAAATGTTATTTAAAAAATACTTTGCAGTTAAAGGATTCTCTTACAAATTTCATTGTTCCCCCCAATTACACCTTTATCAGCTTAGATGTTACAGCTCTATTTAATAATATATGTTTCGATGCTGTTATAATGGCCATTGAAAAATTTTGGCATCACATACACAATAAAATTTATTTGCTACTAACAGATTTTTAAAATGTTTTAGAATTTATATTGAAAAACAATCATTCTCAATTTCACAACAACTTTCATTCGCAAAGAAGGGGCTTTGCTATGGGAAGTCCTATCAGTCCTGTCCTTGGAGACACACTCATGATAGACTTTGAAACTACATGTCTGAATTTGTGTCCTTAAAATATTTCAGTTTATTTCTGTTACGTTAATGACCTTTTACTGTGTGTGCCTGTTGATAAGGTTAAAATCGTTTTGAATGTTTTTAATAGTTATAGTAATTTTTTGATTTTACTACTGAAAAATCTAAGAATAATACTATTAACTTCCTGGATATGACTATAGTAGCCAATAACGATTCGTCTTTTTCTACTATTTAGCTTAGAAAAGACACTCATTCTGGTTCATACTTAAATTTTCATTTACACTGTTCTATTTCACAGGAAAAAGCAATAGTTTCACAGTTAGTAGATCAAAATTACAACCTTTCTTCACCTAAATATTTTTTAAACAATTTCAAATACATTTATACAGTTTTGCTGGCAAATATGTATCCTTTAGATCCTATTGAAAGTTGTATAAAGAAAAGATTATATTTTTGGAAGTCCATTAATAATAGTCAAAATAATATTAGTCCTGTTAATAATGCTATTTGCTCATTAGGTATACCTTATTGCCGTGAGTTAGATTATAAGATAAGGGTATATTGTTCAAAGAGTTTTATCAATGTTATTTTCAAGAGTAATAATAAATTGCCATTTAATAGAATGTATGAAAAAGACATATTGAAAAAATTGAGTAATCCGAATTTTATCTAAAAGATTGATTGCTCAGATTACAGTCATATTATATTGGCCAGACATTTAGAAAATCAAGTATAAGGTTAAATGAGCACAAAAGTGACATAAAACATAAACGTGAGTAGTCTGCCTTATATCAACATCATTTAGACACAGGGCACTCTTTTAATTTTAGTGACAACGAAATCAACATTATAGATATAGAACAGAATTATTATAAGAGATTATTGTCTGAGATGATTTTTATTAAAAAGACAAATAATTTTAATAGAATGTTAGACTGTGATAATTTAAATAAAGTTTTTAAACGGTATATACGCTTGTTACTTAAGTAAATTAATATTTGTGTTTTTATGTCCTTTATTGTAATTTGAATTTATCGCGCGTTTTCACTGTATAGATTTAATATATATGTAACACATGTTGGTTTCGTCTATATAGTATGTATGTAAAATTTGTATTTGATAATTTAAATATGTAAGGTCAGTCGACTATGTGCCCTCGTTGGGTACTGACGTTGTTTGAATCTTCGAACAAAATAATCTTTTTGTAAGTCTCTAATTTGTAACTGTATTTAAAATTGTTTATAATTGTTCTCAGTTTTTAAAATGTTATTAGATGTGATAACGTGGATGTATTGTTACCTCAAGTTAATTTATTTCGTGTATATTTTATAAAATTAGATGTTTATGCTAAAGAGAAAAAATATACTTTAAGAAAACTAACTAAAAGTATAATACTAAATAACTCAACATCATAAACAGCTTGGTAAAAATTAAATAAATTTAACAATTTTAAACAGTTATAAGAGCGTACAAATTTATAAGAACACTATTTTTTTTTAAATTGAAATTAAATCATAAAGAAAGTAAAAACGTTTGAAAAATACCATGAAAGGCATATTAAACATAGTATATCCTTAATATTGTGTTAACTTAAAAAATTAATTCCTTAACCGCGATTGGTGTTCCAATACTAGTAAAGGAATCCGTGTTCGTGGAAGCTTACTGCATTCAGTGTGCAGAGAGATGGGGTTGTACTAGTATTTGTAAGTAATAATGCATACTTATGAAGTTCCATAATCGTTTTGTGTAATAATAAAATTTATCTCCAGGATAATAAGATTAACACTATTATTAAATGTCATTATTCTTTTGACTGATTTTATTTTTATAACTAATAAATAAGGTTTTTTTTAATACAAGTAATTTTACCTCGGAGTGGTTGTTTGAGAGCGAGGTGTTATACTCCGCTGTTCAATAAGACTGCAAGTACTACCACGACTTTGCATACTACTTCTTTTGCTGCTTCCAGAAAACTTAACGTCTGTAAATTAAATTTTTGTGTTAAGAACATTTAAGGAGATTTATTTTATTTTATTTTAGAGTTTTTATCACTATTATAAGAAAGTCCGTAGGTCTGGCATATATTTAGTGAAATGACTAAAAAGGACATGACGTACTTTTAAGATATATATTAATAACATTGGGAAGTAATACAGACTGTCCACATACGTATTATTTCCTCTTCATATTAATCCTTGTAATTATATTTCCCGGTAATGTTCACATAATTCTTTCTTGACTAACATACATACATCTATACGCTTACACACACATACATACATATGCAAAAGTTTTTAATAGTTTAGATATTTTTGTTCAAATAAAAAGAAATACTTCATCAAAAATAGTTTTCTTAAAAACATACCAACCCTAAATTGCAATTAATATAGACTTTTCCAGTCTAGATCTATGAGTTAATAGATTAATTAATATGTACAAAATTATTTTATAATGATGAATATACAAAAAAAAATTTGTCGTAAAGTAGATAACTGTAAAAATAGTATTCAATCGTGTATTAGTATGAAACATAAATTTGAATTATTTTATCAATGACAACACAGACGGGTGTGTNCAGTTTTGAAGCTTTGCGGAATGTTACGCAGCCTTAGAAAGAAATAAAAATGAAAAATTATTATTGTGCAGCAGGTATAACACAAAAAGTAAGTACTTACTTATTTCTTGCATAAGGAAGGATGGTGAAATCAACAAAGCGACTAGTGACGAAAGCTTAAAGAATCAATATTTATGCTGATAGCACTGTTATGAGACGATACATATGAAGATCTTACACATAGTCGATTAGTGTACGCAGTAAAGTAGCTAAACTCGAATATAGGACAAAGTACACACGACCACAAAGGAAATATACTGGGATTTTAATTGGTATACCTTATACCTTCGAGGTCACTGGACAGGAATCCATTGAAAAAATTAAGCCAGCACATTAGGATTTTTAGTGTAATTTATAAAATGCCTGAAAACTTGGAATTTCTTCATAAATTTTGTCACCTAACCTATAAACGTCAAATTAACCTGATAAGGCTGACGCATATTGTCAGCGAAACGTTGCGCATTAATAAATCAACGCAAGAAAATTTAAATACACTTTACTTGTATTTATTTATTTTCTCACATTTCGCCCCCAACGGATCACCGATCACTTTGAATTTCCATACTTATATTGACCTTGAGATTTAATGTCAATGTAATTTCAAGATCAAAGTAACTTGTTTAGATCAAATGCCTCTTTTTGACCTCAAAGCTCATTTTACGGTAAAAGGCTCATAACCAAATAATGGAAGATTTGAAATTGGATTGTGTAAAATATGGCACCCAATGGCCCTCCTGTGTAAAGATCTGTAACTCAGCAGACCTAAAACTGATGCATTTATAACAGGATTATCCCATTAGCCCACAAAGCTCCCCTAACCTTAACCCCTGCAAGCAGAAACCCCCAAAGATCCAGAAACATAAGTCACTATGAATTAAAAAATTTTTTATTTAGAAATTTAGAAAAGTTGTTTAAGGTCAATCACTTAAATAGCACTTGAAAACTTTTTTTCTCAATCTCCTGAGCAATTCTCAAGTTAAGGATGCCTTAAATGAGTAAAAACTTCCACAAGTTTCGACAACCTTAAGTGACTTGACCTTAATGTAAATTTTATGGTTAACAAAGAAGTGCGTCATTCTCTAAAATAAAGAAACTTAAAAAAGTTGAATCACCAGGACCTTAGTTTTAGCGTAACCCAGAAACAATGACGTGGACGTACCAAGTTCTGTTTCCTTTGGGGTGCTTGTTTAGTGTGAGTCCCCTTGCCTCTCACGATATGGTGCTTCTTTAGCGTGAGTCCTCTTGCCTCTCACAATGGGGTGCTTCTTTAGCATGAGTTCCTTTGCCTCTTACGATCTTTGTTTTTCAAAGCAAAATCAATACATATTTATTATTTCTTTCCGAAATAACATGTCTTTTTTGTTTCAAAAGATCTGCGAATAGGTTTTAGTTTATATTGTATTTTAGTATCACACTGCAGGCTCCACCAGTAATCCGCCATCATATGCTCATTCAAGACACCTTGGTATATTCGTTCCATTATTTTAATGTCCTGATAAAACCTATCACCTAGCTCTTCACTGAAAGCTCCAAGATTTTACGGAAAAATCAAGATGTGAATGAAGGTATTGAATTTTTTAGTTCATTAAACATCCCAAATTTTTGTATGATGTAAGCATGTTGTCACATATTTGTTATAATCTTGATCCTTATTGTTTTCCAATAATTTAGATACCACATTTGTAAAAGCTATCCAACCTGCAAGTTCAGGTGTTGTCATTTTATTTTTAAAGTCTTAGACATTTATCAGACCCCTTATTTGAGGTTCATCCACACTTTCCCATCAGTATTTGCTTGAGATAGATGTGGAAACTTGATGTACAGATGATTAAAAGCATAACGGTCTTGGATTTTTATTGCCTTAATAAATTTCTTGATTAGGTCAAGTTTAATGTGCAAAGGCGGTAGAAAGATCTTGGGAGTTTTTACTCATAACTTGGTAGTTTTATGTAATACATTCTTTGTTTCTGGTGTTTAAGTTTAACGAGCTCTCCAAATTTTTTTCATATAATAGTTAGCATGATCACGATTATCTTATTCACATAAAAAACAAGGAAGTTTCACAAATTCTTTTTGTAAAAAATTCCTTTTATTTTAACCTAGATGCAAGCAACTCAGCCTTCTCTTTTGAGAGTCCTAAATCTCTTACAACGTCATTAAGTTTTTGTTGATTGAGCATTTCAAAAGCTTCTATACTTTCGGCATAGACTTCTTCAAGATAATATTAACCATCTGCACTATTTGTAGACACACTAGGCTCTGGAATTTCTTTATTAAATTTCATTGATTCATTTTTCTGTGTTACTATGCTGACTGAGGCTTTAAAAATGTTTTCTCGAATCGACATTGTAACAGAAGTTATCGATGAATATAAAATATAAGATCTGTTTTTTGCGTTGGATCCAATTGTAGAAAATAAACAGAAGCAACAGTCATCTTTATGGTGTTAAAGTTTTTTATTTGATCTGCCTTCTGCCACTTACTAAGAAACGTCGAACAATAAGTGTATAAGGAATTCAAGACTTATCAAATGAGTCATAGCACTTAGATAGAGAGAGTTACATGTTGTTTTGTAATGATCTGTTAAAATCTCATTGTTTCTTTTAGAAACGAATCTTTCACAAACGAGGCAAAACTCTTGTGGACTATTTGTGCATACTTCAATTTTTTTTCAAACACATATATTTTAAATAAAAATATTATAGGACGAGAACTTGAAGTGCTAAAACAGACGCATGTACTTTCTAAGCTTCAGAGAAAGTATTGCAATACAGTTCACTTACACTTAAAAAAATTTTCAAGGACATACAAAGTACCCCTAGCAAAAAAAGACAAGTAAATAAGCATTAAAGATATTGCAAACCATGTATGATACGGGTAATGACTATGAATTTATTTCAAACTTACGCCATGCATCAGTAAATACACAGGTGTCAATAAAAGCTTAGTTTATAGTGAAATATAAAAAGTTTAGGAACTAACGTTTTTAAATTGTGTTATGTCTACGAATATAAAAGTTGAATGAATTTTAAATTAGAAAGCATTCAGAACTAAATAGAACTTACTTAATATGATACTTTTTTCCTACCGTAAGTTGATTTAATTGAACGCTCTGATGTAAAAGTATATTATGAGTGGGTGCACAACTCTTTTAAAAATAAAAAAAGGCCAGAGAGATATTAGTGCAATAAACAATTGCGTCAGTGACAGAAAGATATGAGGACAAAGAAAAGCAAGGCGAAGATTGATTAGGACTGAAGTAAGCCGAGAGGGCGCAAACTGGTGAGAAGAGGCGTTAGTAGTGCGAAGGATGTAGAGTAAGAAATAAATGCGATATAAGTAATACATTTTTTGTTTGGGGTTTATGGTTTTGGGGTTTGCAGAAATTTGGATATGGAGACTGTAAGTTTCGGGCTTGTTAGGGAGGGGGCTTCGGAATTGAAGGCTTATGTTTTAGGGCCACTGCGTCAGAGATCTTTGGATACAGGGGTCATGAATTGCGTTTGTTTACAAACCTCGATTAAAAGGTATCCGATACTAGATTTTGGAGCTTGTTAACTTGAAATGACCTCTGTAAAATAATATGAAGGATAAATATTGAAATATAGAGGATTTAGTTAGTTAAGGTTGTCAAAAATTGTTAAACTTTGTTTTCCTTAAAAGCACCTTTGACTTTCGAGTTGCCTATAAGCTTAAGAAAAAAAAGTTTTCAAGTACTATTCAAGTGATTACTTAGAGATTAGATTCAAGTGATGACCTAAGTCAACCTTTCTAAATTTTAGAATAGAAAATTTTTGAAATGTATAGTGACTTACGTAACTGGGTCTTTGGGGGTTTTAGCTTACAGGACTTGAGGTTATGGGAGCTTTGTGAGCTAATGGGATAATCCTGTTATAAATGCGTCAGTTTTAGGTCTGCTATGCTACAGATCTTCACATACAAGGGCCATCGGGTAGTTAAGTTGTAAGCTTTTCACTTTAAAAAAAGCTCTCTTTGCTCTCAAAAACTTTCAATTTAACCGTTTTTCCGTACCACGCATAGAATCAGAGGAATAGGGACCACCGATTTTAACTGATTATTTGCTATATTTATGCCAAAAAATTGATTTTTTTTGCCATAGCCATGTCTGAAAAACAATGGTCCTGTTGATTTAAGACTTAAGTCGGCGTAAACAACGCCATATCTCTCCGTATCTCGCACACTTAATAAGACAGGCATTTTGGCATATTTTTTGCGAAATGTTGGGTGTTTTTTAGCGAAAGAATACATTATTTAGTAACAATGGTCCTGATCACTCGGAAGATGAACTCAGCGTAGCCACCGCTGTATTGCTACAGAGTGCAGTACATATTGAAACATCATTTGCG